GGGTTTGGATCAATTATACATGATGTATATGAAGTGTTCGGATGATTGGTTTGGACAAAAGTTGTAAGGTTTGAGAGATTCAAAGATATGGTTTCAAAAACCTCAAAATGGAGGTTTTGGCCAATTCTGACTTGGGAGAGTTTGAGAGGGTTAGAGTGCTTGTGAACTCGTGCTATGTCTTGCAAATGGACCTTATATTTATAGGGAAAAGGTTCAAAGGATGAGGGTACTTGGTTTACAAGTTATCAAGTTTTTGCTTGGTTGAGACACAACTTGTAATTTCTTGTGAAATCCAAGTTTTAATGCATAGTACCATGCCTTCTAGAGTTGTTAAATACTTTAAACATGTTCCTGAGTTTTTAGGTTGAGTCTGTGCAGATTAAACAAGTGAGAGGCTCAAGGAGAGTTGACAATTGCATAAATCATGCTTTATGTAAATGGCAATGGTACCTTTGTGCCATAAATGGAAAAATCATTTGGACAGTAGCTCAAACACTTGGATAATGGTTCAATAAATTGTGTAAACATTTAATTATGGGTATATTTTAAAGCTAATGGACCTGAAAAGTGAGATCTCTAAGCATGGTATGATAATTGGTTATGAACTTGTCACAAAAAATAACCTAGAGTGCAACCTTAGATACTCAGCTTCATGTCTTCGAATCTCCTAGCTCAAGGATGATAAAATTGTGTTCTTGGATATTTTGGAAAGCTAGAAACACTGTCTACAACTTTCATGTTGTGAGTTTTGGCTAAATCAAATGGGAACTTGGTGAAAATTGGCCAAGAAGTTGAGATGAAAAACTGACCAAAACCTGTTGAAAATTTTTCTGTGTTGGATAAAAATAATCAGAACTTCATGCGCCTATATCTCTTAATTCAAGCAATTTTTGAGGTTCATCCCACATTGACTAAGTTGTATAATTCATCAATCCCTATAACTTTCATATTGAAAGTTTTCTTTGAATCAGCTAGTATCTTTAGGAAACTTGCTTGTGAAGTTAGGGTTTTTTAAGTACAAAACACTTTGAATTTTTCTAAGTGTTTGAAAAATCTTTAATTTTGAATTTTTGTTAACTTTTCATCAATTTTGAATTGATTCAAAATTTCAACTATCAATCACTTGCATCTTTGGAAATGTATTGAGCCATGTAATTAGGTCAAAATTTTGTATTTGAATCCTTAAGATCATGCTTCAAGCTATTAGGTCATGCACTAGGTCAACAATCAATGATCAGTCATCCTCAATAAAACCCTAATTTTGACAATTTTTTTACCTTTGATGATTTGAGGGCTTTTCTTGAGGAATCATGGTCAACCCTTGATCAAATGATGAATATCACCTCAAAATGTTGATGTTGACAAAAAATATTGAAGTTTGACTGTATGTTGACCATAATTGTCTTTTTGCCCAATACAATTGACTTTCAATCATCTGAGCCATTGACTGAGCAAACACGTGACGCAAGACTTGAAACTTTACATAAGAATTATTGAGGACCTATGATGAACCAGAAATTCATTTGAGACCTTTGCAACTCACTCTTCCTTATACAAGATGAAACCCTGGTTGTGGACCCATTGCTTAGGAGGTGAGTTTGTCTGATAAACTCTTGAGAAACCTTGAGTATTTGAGAATCTTAGAAGAATTCCTTGAAGAAAATGGGAGGGAAAATTTTGGGGTACAACATATACATTATGCAAGCAAAGTGTTAATTGATGTGCAAGTTAACTATGCAACCACTGAGAAAGAATTGCTTGCTATAGTGTACGCATTAGAAAATTTTCGATCTTATCTCATATGGTCTAAGATTAATTGCTATATTGACCATGAAACGGTCAAGTATTTAATCAACAAAGTGGATTCAAAACCAAGAATAATCTGATGGATGCTTCTTTTACAAGAATTTGATTTAGAGATCTGTGACAAGAAAGGAACCGGGAACTTGGTTGCGAATCATCTATCAAGATTGGTGAATCCCAAGATTACAAAAGAAGAAAGAGAAGTACTTGAAGAATTTCCCGATGAAAAATTGCTCATGATTGAGGAAAGGCCATGGTTTGATGATCTTACAAATTATAAGGCATCTGGTCTTATTCTAAAAGATCTCAGTTGGCAACAAAAGAAGAAACTCTTGCGTGATGCCACTCATTATGTATGGGATGATCTGTACTTGTTTAAAATCGGAGTTGTTAGGTTATTAAGAATATGTGTTACGAGAAAAGAAACGAGAAGCATCACATGACATTGCCATATTTCAGCATATGTCGGTCATTATAGCAGAGAACAAACAACTGCTAAAGTTTTGCAAGCGAGATTCTATTGACCTTCTCTATTCAAATATACATATGAATATTACAAGAGTTATGATAATTGTCAAATGGCTGGTGGAATTTCTAAACAAAATGAAATGCCGCTACAAAGCATGCTAGAAGTAGGTGTGTTTGATTGTTGGGTAATTGATTTTGTCGGACCTTTTACTTCGTCTTTTACCAATGAATACATCTTAGTGGCGGTTGATTATGTATCCAAATGGGTAGAGGTTGTTGCATCACCGAAAGCAGACAGCAAAACAATGGTGAAATTTTTGAAATGAAACATCTTCACAAGATTTGGCACACCAAGAATTTTGATTAGTGATGGAGGCTCTCATTTCTGCAATGGACAACTTACAAGAGCTCTTGAACATTACGATGTCAAACCCAAGGTCGCAACACCATATCATCCACAAACGAATGGACAAGTGGAAGTATCTAATAGTAAAATAAAGAGAATCTTGGAAAAAAATAGTTTCAACTTCTCGAAAAGATTAGTCGTTAAAGCTTGATGAAGCTCTTTGGACATATCGCACCGCGTATAAAGCACCAATACTCCATTTCAAATGGTGTACGATAAAGATTTCCATTTACTAGTTGAATTAGAAAGCAAGGTGTTTTGGGCTTTAAAGTCCCTCAATTTTGATTCACAACAAGCCTGTGCGAAAAGGAAACTTCAATTGCATGAACTTGGTGAATTAAGGCTACAAGCTTATGAATCCTCAAAGTTGTACAAAGAAAGGGTAAAGAGATATCATGATAGTAGAATCCTACCCAAAGACTTCAAAGTAGGTCAAATGGTTTTACTCTTCAACTCTTGGTTAAGATTGTTCCCCGGGAAACTAAAATCAAAGTGGTCCAGGACGTTCCAAATAAAGAACATCAAACCTTAGGGAGCAATTGAACTTGAGGATCCAAATTCTAAAGCAACTTGGACAGTTAATGGTCAAAGGATGAAGTTATACTTAGGTGGTGAGATTGATAGAGTTACAACCATAATTTCGTTGCACGAACCATAAAAGTGACAAAGCGTCAAGCTAATGACGTTAAACTATCGCTTTTTGGGAGGAAACCCGACTCTGTAAGTAAAAAAATTTGTTTTATGTTAGAGAACATTAAAGTATCAAGAAAGAAACTGGTGTAGCAGGTTGCCAATTCTGCAGAATTCTGAGATGCTGCAGAGTTTGCTAAGCGAACATATTCCGCTAAGTGAATATTGGGACCCATAAAATTTGCTAAGTGAACCTTTTTTTCACGAAGCGAACATGCGGTTGTCAAACCTATCATTATGACCACTAAATAACACCACCTACTGCCCTACCAGCCTTTATGTCTTGTAATAGCCTCACTTTTTCAAGACTTTTTAACTTTTCACTTCACACTTTCACTCCCTCAATTTATTCACTTGTGCACACTATTCCTTTCTCTTCTCCATCTCCGAAGTTTGCAGCAACATCAGGTATGGTAGATTTACAACCCTCATCAACTTTTACTTACTATACTTTTTTTTTTACTCTTTTAGATTAAAAAAATTCGGTCACTCTTACATACTGTTATTATGACCACTTTCTTTTGAAAATTTGTTGGAACTATAGTTTTGAAATTCAGATTGTTGTGCATCTATGGTTGAAACTAGGTTAACTATCATATTCCATAACATACTTTATGTTTTTATATGTTCATGATATACACATAATCTGAAATATTTTGAACGAACAAGTTTCATTACATCAAAAGTTTTGGTTAAACAAAAAGAGAAAATAATCTGAAATCAAAAATCAATCAACCATATTTTTTCAGAAAATGTAGAGTTCGCTAAGCGAACTTTTGTTCGCTATGCAAACTTATCATGATAAAGAAAAATCCATTTACTAGCAGAATGATTATCTGTTATTTATGTTGTTGCATGCATGACACCAAAAAGAGTTCTCACCTCAAAGAAGCAGAAAACCACAAAGTTTGTAATGCAAGAGCCCTTTGACCGAACACAATATCTCGGACCTGAGCAACAAGATAGGCATGATGAGCTAATTGGAAGGAGCATCTTGTCTAGGAGAATTTTTTAAATCAATCCTGAAGGAGACTACATATCCTTAAGTGCTAAGTGGGCCAAACACAAATGGGATACGCTCTTGAGCCCTCACCGCAACATAAATACTTATGTGCTTCGAGAATTCTATGCCAATGTCATTCCCTCAGCAGGAACTACATTCTCTTTCTCTACCACGTTAGGGGGGGATTCAATTTCATAGAGATGTCATTAATGAATTCTTGGGAAATCCTCTAGTCTTAAAGGAAGGAAAGAAGTGTTGATATCAAGAATCCATCAATACTACGCTAGATGCCAAGGTGATTTCTAAAAGAATCCTTCTGGAAGGGTAGAGTGTGGAAAGAAATCCTTCTGGTGTAGCAATTAGGTTTCCTAGGAGGATTTACTCCCGGAAGCTCAAGTCTTTCTCCTGCTCATTTTGCACAACATCAGGCCCAAAAGTCACACCTCCACTTTCACATTGGATACGACTCAATTCGTTTATCTGATCATGGCAGGAAAGAGAATTGATGTTGCTTAAATCATTGCTAATGAAATGAGAAATGTTGCATAAAGTGGTAAAGACTTTGGAGCAGGAACCAAAACTACTTGTCCTCTTATGTTTCCAGGTCCCATCATGGGATTACTAATTGCTTCACATGTGTGAATTCCAAATATGGTTTACTTTAAGATCAAAACAAAGGTTAATGACACGTATGTGGACAGATATTGCTTGGAAAAGAAAAAGAAAAGAGGGAGATGAAGCATACTTCATCCGAAACTCTAAACTACGATAATTGGGATCTGAGACCTGAGACTCTGTCAAGCTTTTAGTTACATTTGGGATCAAAATGATGTTAACCATAGAGTTGTTGTATCTTTACATGATGTTATTTATAGGTTGCAAATACAGCCCGATGCAGCCTACCAAATGATGACACCAGAGGCATTTCAAAATCACATTGCATAGACTGGGGACAGGCCATTCTACCGGGGGGGGGGGGGGGGGGGGGGGGGGGGGGGGGGGCAGCTGGTCATGGAGACGAAAATGAAGAAGAATAGGAGGTTAAACCTAACGAAGAAGGAACTTCTGGTGGTTCCAAAACAGCATGTGAAGCCGGTGATGATGAAGAGATAAGAGAAGAATAAAGAGGAGGACAAAACTGAAAGCTCGCCATAAAATGAGTGATATTTTGGGGGGGGGGGGGGGGGGGGGCAGCTGGTCATGGAGACGAAAATGAAGAAGAATAGGAGGTTGAACCAGATAACGAAGAAGGAACTTCTGGTGGTTCCAAAACAGCATGTGAAGCCGGTGATGATGAAGAGATAAGAGAAGAATAAAGAGGAGGACAAAACTGAAAGCTCGCCATAAAATGAGTGATATTTTAAAGCTTTCGGTTTTAGTTTTTAGCACTTTTCAGTTTAAGTTTTAATACTTTTCAGTTTCAATTTATTTTACACACTTATTATGTAATATTTTGACGGTATCATATGTCGTAACCTTGCTTGACTTGTTACTCTTTTTAAAACGGTTGGTATGTCGTATGTTTGTCTTAAAACTTGCTTCTGTCATCAAATGTATTGTTATGCCAAGAATTTCAAGTTCTTGTTATCCTCATCAAAAATTCAAAATTATCGAAGAATCAAAAATACATTTTCACAAATTCAACAAACATGAGTGGTAATGAAAAAATTCCGACAAAATGCACAAGGCAAAGGTACGTGTTTTATAAAGCTTTGTAGAATGATAGCATGATTTTGAAATATGTGGTTCTTGCAAAATTATTTCATGCTTCAATTTTACAAACACGTATCTTCTTGCTTGAATCATATAGCCGAAAAATAGAAAAAATGAGAAATCTTCTATTGTGTACTAAAAAGAGTTCATGAGATAATAATCTTTGATTGAAGCTCGATTGATTCATATGGAATCTTAACAATTCTTTTTAAAAAAAATTTTAAAGCACAAAGATGATCAAGACAATTTGTTCTTCATAAGAAAAATCACTCAAATAAAACAGCCTCATTATACCCTGTAACATGAGTGAATATATAGGAGAGCTTATTGAAGACAAGGAAGCTGAACAAAGAACCGGTAATGATGAGTATCTTTTTGATATTGGAAATAAAAACAACAATACTCTTTGGGACAGACTTTTGTGCCACTATTGATGCTGCTCAATATGGTAACGTGGGGAGATTCGTCAACTATAGTTGCTCCCCTAATCTTTATGCTCAGAATGTCCTTTCAAACTAAAATCCCAAAAAGTGGAACTTAATTTTGAGCCATGTTTATAATATCAGTTTCTTTACCTTTATGAGTATTTTTTCACTAGGCTGAGTTTGGAACAAAATTTTGTGAAGAGGACAAATATGTTGTCATTTGAATGTGTCAAACCTTTGTGCCAATTTGGACCTTTGCATCTTTTTCCTGCTTCTGCAATGAAGTGTTATTTGTTTGCTTCACATCCTGTTTGCTAGTATAGCGAATTATACGTCGAATAGCGAAAGTTGGTTGCTCCTGCAGAACAGTTTGACAATTCAAATTCTTAATGGAGAAGAAAGGATAGTTCGTTTAGCGAATTTAACTTTGCTAAGCGAACTCAAGCGGTCAGAAAGGCTATAAAAAGGGACCAAGTGCAATGCAGAATAAAATCATCTCATATTTTGAATACCGTTTGTAATAGTTAAGAAATTTTGTTCAATCCAGTTGTAATAGATACTTAGAGGAGAGAATCGAAGAATCGAGCAGAGTACGCATCAAAGGATCGAGGAATCATCTTTGATGCTCATTCATCTCTAATTCTTCCTTTTTGTACCAGTTACCATGATAATGACTAGCTAAACTAATTCTCTTGCGGGATTGGAAGAATCTACCGTAATCATATGTATATTTACCGATTATACTTTTAATATAAACATGTTTCATGATTATCGATTCTATCTTGTTATTATTGTTAAATCTTATGAATTTGAATTGTTAATGAGAATTACTTTCGAACTCATGAATCAAAGATAAAGAATCAATTAAACACTAATTGCTAGACATAGAAATTAGATTTAATGTCTGCACGAAAGACTTGATTTTCATACGATCAAATTGTTTACTCGATTGAGACATTGTTGATTCAACAAACTGATTGAAACCATGAAACTATCATGTAGACATACATGTTGTTGTGAAAAGTACGTGGAGATATGAATGACTACGTGATTATGCAGAAATTAATCGGTGAATTGCATACGTAAAATGGTAGAGGAAATCGAATCCCTGCAAGATATCTTATCATATCAAAACTTTGTTTAGTTCATTTCGTCTATTTTACATTTTTATTACTCGTATCAAATCAGACTTTCCATAAACGTTAACTTGAATGATATTGATATTCTAAACGTTGGAAATATCACTTCAGTCATCTCCGTGGATACGATAACAAAACATTTTCTTTTGATTTATTCAACATCACGTACGCAGTCACATTTTATACAGCCAGAGCCTTTTCTGAGTATTTTTAGTTATAATTTTGAATATTACAGAGCATTTTTAGGAAACTACACTGTGCATAGGTCGCGTTGGTATATTCATTTTTATTTTTTGACTTTGCGTGCATTCGAATTTTATTCATTTTCGGTTATTTTAGTTATTTTATTTATTTATTTAATTCAATTAGAATTTAAAATAATTTTAGGTTGGTTAGTTTTAATTACTTATTGTTCATTTAATTGATAAAACAATTGGATCATGAGGATAGTATAGGAAGTTTTCTTTTCATTAAAACCCTAGGCTTGGTATATAAATAGAAGGGTGTTAAATTGGAGGAGGGAGCGAACCAATAATCACCAACCGTCACTCTCCAATACACACTCAGAATTTGAAAAAGGAAAGAGAAATGGAAAAAGGGTTGTAACGAAGTTAATCTCTTCTTCTTCACTTGAGATAGACTAGTTTCTTCTATTTGGTTGCATAAAGTTTATTATTTAAATAAATGCAAAATTGGGGTGCTATGTAGAAACCAAATTAAAGAGAGAAAAAACAATTAAAAAGAGTAAAGGTACTACCATCCTTAGAAGAGGTGTTATAACTATAGGAGTTGTTAAATTTGATATCATCAACCATAGTTGAAGTCATTCTATTCTATTGTAAAAAGCTTAACATTGAAATTATCAATTTTTATTTTTTTATTTGTTGTTTGAAGTGAAAAAATTAATTGAAATGTAAAAAAAAATTATTAATTTATTTAAAAAATGAAAATGAATAAATAAATAAATAAGCGAGCAAGTCTGCCTCCCGCCAACTTGTCACCTTGGTGGGAAGGGCTAGATTTTTAAGCTAAATTTCACTTGGTGGGTTTGCCCGCCCTGTCCCTTTTTTGGAGGGCTTAAGACGGAACGGCGTGGGCGACCTGTTTTTCCACCCTAATGTTTACTTGTTGACTGAGAATTTCGACTACATGAGTTTTCAGTTGAAATGATATATTTTAGAGAATATAGTTTGAAAGGAAGAATAAAGAAGTCTTTGTGAAGATTTCGATAGATGAAAAGTTAATAAGAGCTTTATTTTCGTTAAAGTATTGGCAAAGGGTTTGTATGCAAATCATTTGGGATTTAAGTTATTCGAAATATCAGAAATGATATTTTCGACTGTCACGATTATGATATTTGGTGCTTCGAAGACAAAGAATTTTCAAATTCAAAAGTTTGATCTTATCCAAAGAGACGCGTGGAAGCATAGAGTTTGAAGGCGCATGCAGATGTCGAACGTGGCAACATTTTATGAAGAGACCTTTTTGGTCGAATTAGTATAAATAGGGATCTTAGCGTTAGGATTCAGGTGTGTTCACATCTTTGTACAAAATACTCTAAATTACTCAAGGTACCAACGTTCGAGAAACGAGTTGTGAGAATGTACGTATGATGCACCAATTTTATGTTTATTGTCATTCAACTTTAATTGAAGTTTTATACATTCCCTTTAAATTTCAGTCGAAAGCCTTTAAGTTTTATACATTTCCTTTAAGTTTTATACATTACAGAGGCCCTTTAAATCTCAACCGAAAGCCTTTTACATTATAGTCTTTTCTTTAAAGCATTAGATTACTACCTACGAAGTAACAATTAAAATCAACTTTGTTTAAAAGAATAAGAATGTTGTCAAGAGTATTCTTCGTTTCAAAAATATAAGTTTTGAATAAGATCACATGTACTTAAGATCAATCTAGTTGATCCTGCAAGTCACCAATTTTTATTCGATTTGAAAGACCAACAATTGTTTACCAAATTTCACGGTAAACAAATTAGCACACTGTTGGCTGAAGATTTTGATGATACTGTTCGAAGCGAAGCAAGTTGGATGTTTCGTTGGGATAAAGCAAGATGTCATGGTTCGAAATGGTAGAAGCAGTGCTTCGAATGGGCATGTCAAAAATCGGAGCTTCGAGTGACAGTTATGGGGATATATTCAAAAGAAGTCTCGAAGTGGTAACAAGGTTGTGTCCAAGAAATGAGTTCGAAGCGAAGAGTGCCAAAACATTTGAAATTCAAACGCAAGCGGGATGTTCGAAATTTAAAATATATGCGTTGGAGCATTCGAAGACGCGTGGAAGCTAGAGAAGGGCAGTGTTCTGCATGTTCTGAACGTGGCAGGATCTTATAGGCAAGACCGTTATGGTCAAAATAGTATAAATAGAAGTCTTAGCGTTAGGATTTCGTGTGTCATATCTGTTGTACAAAATTCAGTAAACATTCAAAATACCACATGGCTAGGGAAACGAATACTCGAACAATGTACGTATGATAACACCAAATATTTATGATTCAGTAAAACTCTTTATCATTTCCAGTTTATCTTCTATCTTCATGTCATCA